TCCACCTCCTCAGTGCCCAGCACTGGCGCTCCTCCCAGGTGCGGGGAAAGCACCTGTCCACATCTTCCCATAATTCACCCGCTTTACCAGGCCGCAGCTGAGGGGCTGGCAGGTGGGGTGACTGAGGACTCGAACCCTCATCAGTCTGATTCCCACTCTAACACGCTAAACCTTTCCCGTCCCAAATCCCACCTACCAGACCAAACCCACATCCAGCCAGTGGATTCTGACTCAGCGACCTTGCAGGGCACGGGAGAACGGCCCCCATAGGGCTTCCAAGGCTGTACACTTGAGGAAAGCAGACAGACTCTCATCTTCACGTCTTTCTCCCAGGGGGTGGCTGCTGGATTTGAACCGCCAACCTTTCGGTTAGCAGCCAAGCGTTTTAGCCACTGTGCCACCAGGGCTACCCCAGGTACAGAGCCTCTTAAACACAGATCCACACAATCCAGTGGTTGAAGCCCGAGAAGTCATCCCACCTCAGGCATTTTGTGACCAAGGGCAAGTTGCTTCACCCCTTTGTACCTCAGCTTAAAAAAAAGTCATAGTCTATTGACGTGTAGTGACCCTACAGGGCTTCTACAGCTGTAACCTTATAGAAGCAGACTGCCTCATCTTTCTCTCCTGGAGCAGCTGGTGGGTTCAAACAACTGACCTTTTGGTTACCAGATGGATGCTTTAACCACTGTGCCACCAGAGCTCTTTGTACCTGAACTTCCTCACCCAAAAATAGATACTGATACCTAACTCCTAAGGGAGCAGTGAGGGTTAAGTGAAGCAGAAACATCAAGTATTTGATTCGCATACATGTTCAGAAGCGGTAGAGGTTACTCAGTGTGCAGACCAACCCACATCTGATCTGTTAAGCCTTTCTCCTCCTCCTGAGATCACATTCAATCTTACCAACTGTGGAGGGGAAGTTTGTGTGTCAAGTTGGTTGGGCCTGGTTGAGTGGCTGGGCAGCTGGATGTAATATTCCCCATGATAGGACTGGTAATCAACTCCATGATGGAATCTACTGTGAGCAGCTGAGTAGCTACATTAGGAATGTGGACTGCTTCCTGTATGTAAGCAGCAGCCTTGGGAATGGCCTCTAGTTTATGGCATATTTGAACCCTGCATGTAGCAGTGCCATTGTTCAGCAGCCTGCCATGCTCTGCCGACCTTGGGACCTTCAATGGACTTGAATTAATGGCCTGCTGTGTGGTTTGGTAACATTGGGACTGTGCCATTTTATTTGTTGACCTTGGGCTTGTTAGCTTCAGCAGCCAGCAGCTGCCTGAGTGAAGAGATGCCTCCAGCTTCAGTGGGCTGAGAGCAGGAGGCAGAGCTGAAACCCAAGGTCAAGGGGCTTTCATCCAGCCCCTAGAGCCTGGAACTTCGAACTGGGACTTAAAGCCTCCAAACTGTAAGAGAATAAACTCCTGTTTGTTCAGCCATCCCATTTGTGGTATATTCCTGTCAGAGCAGGACTTGGTAACCAGAACACCAACTTTCAGAGAATTCTCGACTCTGGCACATTTGTAAATCCTCCAAATTAAGCGGTTCGTGTTGCTACCATTTAATCTTAAACTGTGTTGTTCTAACTGGGGTACATTAATTTTGGTCAAGCTTCTTTTAACTGTCCTTAATCACTATGCCAAGAAACCTGGCTGGCACAGTGGTTAACTGACTGGCTGCCAACTAAAAGGTTGGTGTTGGTAGTTCGAACCCACGAGTTGCTCCACGGGGAAACATGTGGCAGTCCACCTCCATAAAGATTACAGCCTTGGAAACTCTATGACGAAGTTCTGCTCTATCTTACAGGACCGCTGTGAGCGGGAAATGGCTCGATGCCACTGGCTGATTTTTGTTTGTTTGTTTTAACATCACTGTACCATTGAAGACAAGAGCCCACGGGAACTGGGTTTGGGCAGGGGCTGCAAACAGAGTTGCCATGTGACAGTGAGGCCCCAAAGAGGCGAAGAGGATGCTGCCGCCAGCTCTGAACCAGAACAAACCAAACGAACTGCCGTGGAGTCGGACCCGACTCATAGCCACCCCTCCTTGGGTTTCTGAGGCGGTATCACTATGGAAGTAGATTGCCCAACCTTCCTTCCAAGGAGTAGCTGGTGGGTTTGAACTGCCAGCCCTCTGGTTAGCAGTCAAATGCCTTAGGCACTACACCACCACAGCGCCTAGATGCCTATAAATCGAAGAGGACTGAGCCAGGCAGTGAAGAGCTGCCTGGAGACGTACACTCAAGACTGAGGGAGCGACAGACTCCTGGTCTGTTTTCCACCCAAAGAGCTAAATAACTTGCTAAACTCACGGCTTCATGGATGTAGAGCATTCAGTGTTTCATGAGAAAGTAAATCTCTATTCAAAACTAAATGTTGTTCTCAAGTAAAACTGCCACGACCACACTGGGCCCCACAGACACGCTGGGATTGGTCACAGAGGATTCAGAGCGGCAAGAGTGAGGACAAACCACCGAAACCTCCAGTTCTCCAATCCCATGAGAGTGGGGGTAACTGGGCTGGGAAAATAGGCTCCTCAAAACAGCTGTCCCTACCTGCTGTCTCCCCTTCTGGCGCCTACTATTCCTTGAACCCGCTCCACTGTAGCTTTCATCCTCGCCACTCCAATGAAATGGCTCAATGCCAAATTCAGTGATCAAAAGCAGTCCCCATTTTCTCAACCCCTCGGGGCAATGACATGGCGGAAACTTTCACCCACATCACAAGACCAAGTTAAATAAAGTAACTTAGTAGTTGGATAAGTCCTGCTGGAGACACTGTGTAAATTGCCTGCTGAACCATCAGCTGTTACTGAATTGCTACCAGGGGAACACTGTGTAACTGTTTCTGTGGGGGAATATTAATCTCATTGCAAGCAACCAATTTACAAACAAGTGGAGCAAAACCTATTCCAAAGGAAGCAGAAGCAACTGCTTTATTTTTAAACCCTCAGTTCAGAAAGAACTTTTCAAAGACTCTTGTTTCCCCCATTCTCAGTAAGAAAGCTCATTCACAAACCATGGTCCAATGAAGACTCTCACATGAGCTCTTGGGGAAAAAAGTACTTTATGAGGATGGAAAGCCTAAGGAAGATTCTCAGATCTTTCACTAAAGCTTGGACAAACTTACACCACATGGGTGCCTGTTGGCGTACTGACCTGTGTCCTGCACTGACAGCTCTACTCAGTCTCATCACATAACAATGATCCACTACCAATTAATAAACACACATTACAGCATCACGCAACTTTAGGTGTAACTATCAGATGATATTTTTACATGAAGTTGTAGCTTCTTATCACATATGTCAATCAGAGTTCAGGCAATGTGGCATGAGGTTAGCTTTTTTCTCTCAATAACCCTAAACTGATTGTGGGGTGAGGGAAAATACCAAGTATGGTGAAATAAAGGCTTCCAAGGTGATTCCATCACATCACTCAGTGTAACATCCGATCTCCAGTCTGTAATTTTTCACATCTTCTCCTCTTATGTTATCAAGATGTGGTCTGTCAGCGGAAGCACTTCAGGCCTCACCACTGCTCTCCTGAGTCCACGTCACGGGGAGGAACACTGGAGGCAACGTCACTGTCGCCAACAAAATGGCATGAATACCATAAAAGCAAGCTTAGGTCTCCTTAGGATGGCAGATCATCTCACGAGAAAACAATTCCCTAAATCTGACTTTCGACCATTTACTAGCTTCCGCATCGTGTCACAGTATCAGCTTGAATTTTAAATATGCATGTACTGTCACATTCATAGAGTGATTTACAGTTTTCAAAGCACGAGGTATGTGGCCTGAACAACAACAAAACACATTTCAGAGTAGTTTTCGATACTAACCCACGTGGTAGAGCTGTGTGTAATTATCTTCATACCAATAAAATATTCGCTATAACGTCTAAGTTCATTATACAAACCAAAAATGGGCTTCTACGTATTATTTCAACAGACAGAATACACTATATCACAGACATAATTTGTGCATATTTTAACAACTATTCCACAAGCACATGTTGTTTGGACCAATGCTACTGGAATGGACAGGGACTACAGGGACATAGAGGGTGTATGAAAACCAGATGTGCCAGCTCTGAAGGGCTACATTTCAGTTATAAGATGGGACCCAGGCTGGGAAGTCCTCCCAGCCACAACAATTAGCTGTATAAATCCAGGGGTGACTCAGAGTCACCCTGCACATGTCCAACCCAAGGAGTGAATTAATGCCGCAGTGAATGAAAACAAAAACTGGAACGTGTGAATAATACTATACACGGCCGCTCAGCAGCACAAGAGGGGGTGGGCTCACCGAGGAGGCAGAGCAATGGAGATTCTTATTAATAGCCCATGAGATCCACCTTTAGCCATCTCGATAGGAAGTATTTTTGAAAGTAATTTGCCCATAAATACAACTGCTCATAGGCACACATACACATCTCGGATAAAAACTCAGCGTAAGACCAGAGTTTTCAGACACAAACAACTAAAGCTACACACTGTAACTCACACATATGCACTCTGCTCATAGAACCAGCAATCTTTTTATAAAATAACACTTAAATAGCCTTTTCTGATGAACATGAAACCCAATCCTATAACGCAGCTAAGGACATAGGTAATTTTCCCTTAAAAAAAAAAAAAAAAAAACCTGAAATTATAAGACCTGACAGTCACATTTTAAGTATATTTCCATTTCAGATTGCTTGTTTCAGCTAGCAGCACGTGTCACACACCGTCTGCACGGCTCAGGGGGAAGCGTGGCAACTTGGGCTTCTCCAGGGAGCGCCTATGCGTCGGCCCCCACTGCCGTTCCCACGTTCCAGAGGCTCCCCACAGCCTGCCCTGCAGGAAGCATGATTGCTTTGCAAAGGATAAATCAGCAGTACACTCGATAATCAGTCATAAAAGAAAATGCGTAAGAGGAATCCACCGAGCTCTTCCACGTGTCAGGTACCGCGGGGTCCCATGATTCGGCGGGACTTCCTGAGTGGCCATCCAGGTTCATGCTTGGCAGGATAAGGCCTCCTTTCGTAAAGAGCGGTTGAGAATGTTTGCTCCCCACACCCAGAGCCACTCGGGCATGTACTGTGCAAAAAGAAACTAAAAAGGAAAGAAAGAGGTTAGAAGGTAGACCCCAAAGCCATCAACAGTGAAGGGCTAAGGTATCTGATCCAATCCAACACACAGCCAGCAATTCCATGGAGCACCACCAAGGAGAAAGGGCTTTGAGTTCCTGCACAGACCACCCAGTTCCTGTGCAAGAGCCTTCTCCCAGACCCTGTGGGGAGCAGAGCAGAACCCGACCCCCATGCAGCCCACCCCCACACCACTGCTCTGGGCAGCCGGCCCACAGAATCCAATCCTGCTGCTGCTTCCTGGGTACACAATCGGCTCAGAATCAAAGCACCTGGTAAAGACAAATGCATAATGGTGTGGTAGTTAAGGTTATATATCAATTTGGCTGGGCCTGGTTTTGAGTGGCTGGGAAGCTAGATGTAGTTATTCTCCATGATGAGACTGGTAATCAACTCCATGGAGGAATCTGCTGGAACAGCTGAGGAGCTGCCTTAGGGATGTGGTCTGCTTCTAGTGCATAAGGAGAAGCTGTGGGAATGGTCTGGAGCTGTTTGGGACACTTGGACCCTGCATGTGGCTGAGTCTTCAGGCAGCAGCCTGCCATGTTTCCTACCCATCTTGGGACTGTCTCTGGACTTGCACTAGCCTGCCGTGTTGTCTGCTAATCTTGGGACTGTGCCATTTTATTTGTTGACCTTGGGTTTGTTAGCCTCAGCAGCCAGTAGTTGCCTGAGTGAAGAGATACCTCCAGCTCCAGTGGGCTGGGAGCAAGGGGCAGAGCTGAAGCCCAAGGCTGAGGGGACTTCACCCAGGCCCTGCAGCTTAGCTTGGCACTTTGAACTTGGACTTGTAGCTTCCTAAACTGTAAGAGAACAAACCCCTGTTGTTCAAGCCACCCACTTGGGGTATTTTCCTTTAGAGCAGCACTAGAGGACCAAAACACATGGTTAGTACTGGCAGAGGAAACAGGTCTGAGGGCTAAGAGGGAGCTAAGTTAAACAAGAGAACTTACACACCAAGACACAAGACCCCGGAGGCCCAGTATTTGGTCCGCAGCCATGGGTAACTTGCTAGGGAAGTAATAAGGTCTACGGAAAACCTGTGGCCGACAAGTCGATTCTGACTCATAGCACCCCTATCACCTACAGGATGGACTAGAACTGCCCCGGAAGGCTTCTGAGGCTAAAATCTCTGTAAGAACAGACTGCCACATCCTTCTCCCACTGAACCGCTGAGGGGTTCAAACTGCCAACCTTTTGATTAGCAGCTGAGGGCTTAACCACTACACCATCAGGGCTCCTTAAGGTTTCTCTGGACCTCTTTAAAGAGCCAGGGTGTTATGGGGAAACTACCCAGATGCTGCTCCTTGGAGCCAGCACCCTAAACAAAGGTTCCAAATCCAAGGAGGCCTGAGAAGTCAGTGTGTGGTCCCCCAGCGGGACCCTGCAGGTAGAGCTACACTGAAGTGCACAGGCGCTGAAGCCACCTGACAGCTGGAAACAGCCGGAACAGGGAAGGGACCAGCATCTAGCACTCAGTCTGCTCTTTGACTCCCACCCGTGGCCACTGTATATCTCAGGGCACAGCATCCGGGTTCTCTTCTCCACCTGCTCCGTCCCTCCAGCACCGAGTAGAGTCAGGTCTCTCTAATCAACTAACAAACACAACACCCATCCCATTACTCCCTGCACTCTTACCCTCTTGGATGAGTGGACCTTACGTATGGTCTCCTGTCCTCATCCTCTGCATACCTGTCAACACCACACAATCCACCTTCTCTCAAAAACGCCCCTAAAACTGCTTTTGGCAAGTCACCAAAGATTTCCAAGACACTGTGGCCTGCAGGCCCGTTTCAGTTCTTGGCATCAGCAGCACTGACGACTGCTCCCTGCTCCCCACCGCTGCTTCTTCCGTGGCTGCCTGGGAGCCACCCTCTTCTGCTTTCCTACCACCTCTCTCGCTGCCCTTCTCAGGCTTCGCTGCTGCCTCTTCTTCCTCCAACAGCCCCTGGGGTGCTGGACCCATCCCTACGCTTTGCCACCCAATCAAAACCGATGACTTGCACACCCTCATCTCCCACACGACCCTCTCGACTGAGCTCCCATCTATCCCGCTGCAGCTCCACATCTCCATGTATGTGTTTCTCGGGCCCTTCAAATTAACATGTGCCAAACTCTCATATTCTCTCCCAAAACCTGATTCTTCCTCTTATACTGAGTAAATGATACCACTGACTTTCTGAATTCTGAGAATATTTCCTGCTTCTTCCTCCTCAATCTTTCTTCCTCCTCTTCAGTCAACCCTCCTCTTCAATTTATTACCCTATCTAAAGAGCTCTGGTGGTGCAGCAGTTAAAGTATTTGGCTGCTAACCAAAACCAGCTGCTCTGTGTGAGAAAGATGAGCCTACCAGTCTTGGAGACGCTGTGAGCAGTTCCACCCTGTCCTCTAGGGGTGCTGTGAGTCGGAATGGACTCCACAGCAGTGGGTTTGGTTTGGGCTTTGCTTCCGTGAAGACTGATGGCCTTAAAAACTCCATCTTGTCAAAAATAAATATAAACTATCATTTTGACTTAAACCTTAATGCAGAAAACAACTAGAATAAATAACACAAAAGAAAACTCCATGTGGTATGTCTGACATATCACACTTCATAAGTAGTAAATTTCTACAGACAAGAGATTGAGAGAGGATTGAAATCCTGATGAAATTTAAATCTGCAAAATTGAACCTGAGAAAACAGCATGAAGAAATGAAGATGACAAAAGAAAAGTCACAGTGGCAGAAGCAGAGAAATCTGCTCTGGACAACAGCAAATGACAAACCAAATCTTTGTTGTAAAATAGGAAAAAAAAAAAAAAAAACCTGATAATGTTTAAGTTGAGTCAAACGAAAATGTAAAAAAAATGTAAACTGTTCAATGGCTTTGTATAGAAAACTACTCTAGGAATTAAATGTCCTTAGCAGAATTTCTTCGCAGAAAAAAACACATTCTCAAGAAAAGCTCATCAATGTGAACAAAGTTCAATTATGAATAAGATATTGGTGTTTATAAATAAAACCAAACCAAACTCACTGCCATCAGGTCGGATCTGACTCATAACGACCCTTCCCTGGGTTTCCGAGACAGTATCACTACGGAAGTAGATTGCCCAACCTTCCTTCCAAGGAGTGGTTGGTGGGTTAGAACTGCCAGCCTTCTGGTTAGCAGTCAAATGCCTTAGACACTATACTTGTTGTTGTTGTTGTTGGTATGTGCCGTTGAGTTGGCCCCGACTCATAGCGACCCCTCCTTGGGTTTCCGAGGCAGTATCACTACGGAAATAGAATTGCCCAACCTTCCTTCCGAGGAGTGGCTGGTGGGTTTGAACCGCCAGCCTTCTGGTTAGCAGACAAGTGCCTTAGCCACTATGCTACCAGAGCTCCCAGCAGTGTTAAAAAGCAAAGTACTTCTTAGCCACTATGCTACCAGAGCTCCCAGCAGTGTTAAAAAGCAAAGTACTTTGAAGACTAAGGTGCACCTGACCCAAGGCATGGTATTTTCCATCACCTTATATGCATGCAAAAGCTGGACAATGAATGAGGAGGACAGCAGAGTTGATGACATATGTTGGTGAAGAATACTGAATGTACCACAGCCTGCCAGAGGAATGAACAAATGTGTCTTAGAAGAAGTACAGCCAGAATGCTCATTAGACGCAAGGATGGTGAGACTCTGTCCACAATCCTTGGGCATGTTATCGGGAAGGACCAGTCCCTGGAGAAGGACACCATGCTTGGTAAAGTGCAGGGTCAGTGAAAAAGGGAGGGCCCTCAATGAGACAGACTGACACAGTGGCTGCCATGATGGGCTCAAACACAGCAGTGGCTGTGAGGACAGTGTCGGACTGGGCACTGTTCCATTCTGTTGTATGTGGGGTCGCAGCAGGAGCCGACTTGATGGCACCTGATGTCACCAAGCAGTCAAAGCATCTGCTGCATCTAAACCTTATCCTCTGTGCATCTCAAAGGGGCTCCAACAGTCACCGGCGCCTACCACCGTTTAGGTTTCTTTGCTTTTCTTAGGTACTAAGGACCTGGAAACAGCCACTTCAGTAACACTGTTTCTTCTTAAACTTTGAGCCAAACCCTTTGAGAAAAGTCAAAATTAACTGTATCCACTTATTTGGAGGTTATAATTCTAATAGTCTTTATGTTAACAGTCCCAAAAGTATGTGTTTGGTAATTAAGAAAACACTATATATGAAAGAAAAAAAATTTAAATTGGGCAATCTATGTACTATGCCAGATACAGAAATATAAGTCTATTTTAATTAAAATCTCTACCTACGTATCAAAATGTCAAAGATTAAAAATGTTTCTCTTTAAAAAACAAAAGATTCAAATCTTTGTCCTCCCAGAACCAAACACTTTAAACATAAACGTTCCATGCTTCTTGAATAAGGGGATTCAAGAAGAGCCTGAGATGGCATCTGACCTAATGGTCACGTGAAATGAAGACCTATTTTATGGTTTCACGTTGTTCAGATCACACTACTGACTTAGAGGTACCCCTTCAAACAATACCAGAATTTTTCCTTTGAAATGCCCGTATAAGTATGTAGTATTTTTATACTGCTACCACCTGCTTCTAGGAGCTCTGGTAGCATAGTGCCTAAGGCACTTGACTGCTAACCAGAAGGCTGGCAGTTCAAACCCACCAACCACTCCTCGGAAAGAAGATGGGGCAATCTACTTCCGTAGTGACACTGCCTCGGAAACCCAAGGAGGGGTCGCTGTGAGTCGGGGCCGACTTGACGGCACATAACAACAACCACCTGCTTCCATTAAAGCAGCATGTGCTGCCCCAAGTTACTTGGTATGACTTTTCTAGCCACGGTCTCTGTGACTCCCACCACATCACTGGGTGGAACCATGCATTTAAGGTGTATGGAACTCTAACGCTGGGATTAAGACAAAGACATTGGCATCGTGGTGAATATCGTGGCTTAAAATGAGCCTTCCTAGAGGCGGGGGGGGGGGGATCTCACTGCCATCAAGAGAGAAGAGCCAGAGATGACATGGAGGGGTGGAGTGCAGTGCTTCCTTGGACCCCAGGATCCCTGCACTGGACCTCCTTGGCAGAGACGCCTGGCAGAGAGACGCCTGGCTCAAGATGGTGGCAATGGAGCCAAGAGACATGAGACAGAGCAGCAGGTTTTCAAGCCCACGGAGCGAGAAAACGGAGTGGCCCTGGGCAGCAGGCTTGTGGCAAAGTGGGGTGCATGTATCGGCAGAGCTAAGAGAGCTTTGTAACCTTGGCCCAAGCAGGGCAGAGGCCAGGCTGAGAGGCCGAAGGCCAGAGAGGTACGCCTTAGGGCACAGCAGAAGGGAGACTGTCCTGATTGAAGGACCGTATCCTGAGTGCCTTCCACAACCTGAAGTGTCGCCTGTTACTTCCCGAATAAACTCCATAATTGAGAGTATTGTTTGTGAGTTCTGTGTGGCCACTGCAATGAATTACTGAACCCAGCAGAGAAGCAGTGAGCGCTGTGGGAGGGATGGCTGGTGTCAGAGTTAGTAAAAAGGCTGGAGGGTGGCAGCAGGTCTGGGCTCACAGGAACAGGCCCTGGGCTGCTGGTGGTGACTTTGTTTCCTCCCGTGAGGATGGACACGGTCAGAGGACGCTGCCTCTGTGCCCGTTCTGCATAGCACATGCCATCTTCAGGTGTCACACAGATGGAACACGTTAATTTAATGTAACAATTCCACAAAAGAAAAGTCAGTGACGTAACCAAAATCATGAAGAATCAGGTTTGCCAGTTCTTACCTTTCAGGACTGGGCTCCCACCAGATTCCTACGCATCACTAAGAAAGGTTTGGGGTGCATTCACCCCATTATGGGAGCTGAGAGCACAGCGTTACCTGAATGGAATGGGACCAGTAGCCTGTGGTCCTTTTGGAAATCCCGAGGGTAGAAACGGCATGATGTGCGTATACTTTGGGTGAAGGCACCAGCCATGGGCATTTGTGCAGAAAGCTCCTGGGAGCAGTCATGTTGGTAGCGACGTAGAACGGGATCAGACTCTGTACAAAGATGCCTTTGGAAGCATATTCGTATTGTAATGCTCTGCTGAAGTGATCTAAATAAGCCTGTTAAAAGGGGGAAGAGACGCTTAGTTTAGTTTTTTTTTTTTT